CACATTGTGTACGTGAATATGACAATTTCGGTGCCTGTGGTTTCATGGTGTTGGGGGCTATATCCTACAACAGGAGATCTGACTTGTTTGAGGTTCAGGGAAATTTGACAGCAAATCGCTACATGAATCAAATTCTTCAACCTCACCTTCTTCCAATCACTGACCGCCAGAGGGTGCTGTTTCAACAGGATAACGCTCCACCGTAAACAGCTCGTGCCACGGTAGACTATCTTCAGAATGCCAACTTCAACGCCTTGCCCTGGCCGTTGAGATCTCCAGATCTCAACCCAATCGAACACCTCTGGGATGAACTCGATCGACGTGTACGTCAACGTCAGAACACGCCGCAGACACTCCCACAACTGGCCAACGCGTTACAAGCAGAATTCCGCAGAATTCCGCAGGACAGAATTCGTACGCGTACACTTATCCAGTCAGTGACAAGGAGATGCTGCCCGGGGCGGTCACACGAGATACTGAGTTCAGCGTAGCCTTGTGATATGACAATGAACAGTTGTCAATGCTTTTGTACAACGACAACATGCGACTATCGATATCCAAAATTTCATATTTGTATCTATGATATTGAATTAAATTTATCGACTTTATTAGGTACAATAAATTTACTAAAAATCTACCTGTGCGTTTCTTTCTTTTTTAAGAGTGTTTGTTTCCGTTTTCGTTCAGTTGAACAATTGACTTGCCTTTGCATGTGTTTGTGACGGGTACCAGCGGTGGGGCAGGATACACTCACCTGTTCTCGAACACCTGGTATCTTCACTTTTTGATAGTGATTCATAAACACATGCTCATGATATAGTCAGAATCGTACAATCGACTCTGCTTTATGCAGAGATTTCTATTGGATATGGAAAGGGTTTTGTCGCTTTATTTACAAAAAAGGTCTATTTACTCCCACGGAAGCTATACAGTTGAAAGCTAAAGAACGAACGTTGGTAACAGAAATCCTATTTGCGCCCATGAAACCCAACAGTTGTTAAGTTAAAGGGCGAACTCGGGTCATAGATAGGCCTATAAAGTACGCTCATGGAAAATCGATTAACCGACAAAGGTTTGTTCACCTTGAAGTGCACCAGGCCCTGAATAATATATCTACATATACAGAGGAACAAAAGAAAGTCATACTTGAAACTTGGATTTGGTAAATAAATATAATTAGAAACGTTATGAAAACATTGCTAGGTTGAAAACAGTCTCTGAAAAACTTCAAACTTCAGGTCGAAGACACGACTATGAATTATTAATACCATGACTATTAAATACGTCACCATCGAATAACCATTTTTTGTTTGCTATATTTTAGCAAGCATCCAACATCGGTGTATTCCCTTCTTTTACCCGGCAGTTTAGTACATGATTTGTGTCAGACGAAATATGATATTGATGTTTAGAAAGAATACTTTTCTATTTGAAATATGAATGTGTTTATCCATACAAAAAGAGCCTTTCGCAATGTTCTAATGGATGTTTGAGCTTTGGTTGTCATGGAATTGGTTACAAAAAGATACTGTTCGTTCATAATCCTTTTCAGAAACTTTTGTCTTAGATGCTTATATATTTTAACATACTACATGCGTTATATGTACTTTAAAATGATTTCATGCACAATTCATATCTGTTACTAAAACGAAGGCTAGTTATTCAAGTTCAGAGGGGTTTAAGGTCAGATCCCCGTTTCACAAAGCGATCCTAGCGCTACGACTGTCGTAAATATAAACGCCAGAGCAGTACCAGTCTCGATTATCTGTTGAAACAGAGTCCATTTTGTGTAAAAGTAAAACGCTTTACGAATGGATCACTGAAATTATAGATAACATCAGGCGTTCGCTAAAAGTAAGTATTGGAGTTACAGAGCTATGATCGCTTTGTGAAACCAAGCCCTGACCTTTCTGTGGAAGTAATATGCGACAATGACATGGTCCTAAAGATGTTTTGTTTTGTTTGTTTGTTGTTTAACGCCGCACTCAGCAATATTCCAGCTATATGATGGCGGTCTGTAAATAATCGAGTCTGGACCAGACAATCCGGTGATTGACATCATGAACATCGATCCACACAATTGGGTTCGATGACATGCATCAACCAAGTCAGTGAGCCTGACCACCCGATCCCGTTAGTCGCATCTTACGACAAGCATAAAGATGTGATGAAGGAGCAGGGCGGGGATGGGGTTAGGGACCAGTAGGTTGTGTTATTTGTTATGGTTGCGTTTCATCGTGGTATGGGCTGGACTATAACTGACTCCGACGCATTTACTCAAGAATTCCCTTACCATGTATCAGTTTGATAGTTCACTTTGAATATGTTAAATATTGATTTGATGAACTGGTACATGTAAGCCACAAGTAGAATGAATAGTTATGTTGTTATCAACTCAAAGATACACGTAAGCTGAGACGGAAGGGTAGCCTAGTGGTTAAAGTGTTCGCTCGTCAAGCCGAAGACCCTTATTCGACTCCCACAAGGTTTCAATTTCCGAAGCCCATTTCTGGTGTTTCTCACCGTGATATTACTAAAATCACACTCATTCACTCACTAACTCACATAAATATAATTTATCAAGGCAAGGGCGTGGCCAGTCTAGATTATACGCCGAAACAGATTCAATTTGGCCTAAAGGCAAAAAAGATGTGAACTTTATAGGAATGGACCGCTGAAAATCAGTGATGACACCAGGTGTTCGCGAAGGGTAAGCATTTCCTGCTCTACTGGTAGCACCCGTCAAATATCGATGTAACCATCTTATCATCAGTAGTCGGCTCTCACGACAGGCATATTAAATAATATAATGTAGCAATCAGATCATAGCACTGCAGACACAATGGGATGTAGGTAGAGTAGAACAATACTATGTCAGTGTCGATGGTCTATATACAGAGAATAACTAGCGGCATTACGGATTCACCATTAAATACAAAATAAGTAGCGGTGTTCTCTGTGCATTCTTTCCCTGGGGTTTTGAGACACACTGGAGGTTTTGAGGAGACACACTGGAGGTTTTGAGACCAGTAGGTTAAAAAAGGGAGGGGTGAAACGTTGTTCAATATTTTTTTATAACGAGAGGACGTTTTAAATGAGCAAGCCATTCAACATAGATAATAATTAAAATAGACATGTGCAAATTTAGAAGAAAAAAAGTATTTCGCTCTTTCAACTCGATATTTTCCACCATATGGTGAAGATCCGGGTTAGAAATGACCTTGTCATGCTTGAAAGAGGCGACTAACGGGATCGCCCGCTGACTTGACTATCCCAGTTGCGTAGAAGTCAATCACTTGATTACAGACCGCCGTCATATTGCTCGAATATTGCTGACAGCGGCGTAAAACAACCAAAAAAAAGACCAAAAAAACGTAGCTTTGTGTTCGGCGAATAGCCTATGACCTCGAATAGCCAGTTTATCACGACGGATTTTCATTCTGATGCATCACTACTATTTTCGAGTTTTACGCCAAAATGAAACATCATTTTGTAGATAACTTTTTGTTCCTTTCAATGAATTTTTATTTTTCAACCATTCACAAATTGTCATCAAATTTAAAGGGAGATTTTGCTTAATGGTTTAGAGCCCATGTCCATTGTGGATCAAGACTTTGTGAATAAAGTCGTGTGTCAACTGACATATATGTCTGTGGCAATACGAAGATCATTATCAACTAGATTAGATATACACGATAAAGGTTAACAGTTGAACACAGCGACGTTTGAACGAGTTGAATCAAATTTGCTGTGACTGCTCCTTAGCGCCAGCGGAATGCCTCCTTAAATATATAGAAAAGCGAATGTATGAATGAAAGGTATACGACGTATTTATACGCGACCGATGATTTCTTAAGGAAGGTTAAGGATACAAAAATATTTTATTTGTAGTTTATTTATGTTTTAGTTTAACATTTGAGTTACTCGTTCAATACATTTCAATTTGTTTGGGAGAATAATCTTAAATTAATATTTTGGAAACATACAGGTAAACTTCACTTACTTTCGTTTTATTTAATGGATGTTTGATCGCTTTCAGTGGGCATATACCATTCAGTCATTTCTGAAATTATGTTACCTATTCTTAACCTATCCTTGTCGAAAAAGACGACTAAATGGATGGAGCGGTCGGCTCGGTTACGTATACCTGGTCGATTGCGTGTCATCGTATGGCGCGTTTATCATGGTATCAAACATTGCTTTGTCTGTTCCAGTATCGGTTAGGGACCGGCTGCCGTGACATAGCTGGACCATTGCTGCCTGTGGCGTTAAACAAGCAAATATGCCCATTAGATACAAGGCAATTGACACGAAGCGAATCCATGTTGCAATAATATATACATGGACATCGTTATCAACAGATATATCCGTGCCCACATTTACCATGCTGTTTTCTGGCGTCATTTAATTTCTATAGAGTATAAATAGCGCCCCTGTATCTGATTAAATAACGCTGCTTCTCAGAGGTGAATTTACCTTCATGTACGTGTATGTGTGTCAGTCAATGTGCAGACACGTAAGTGTATAAACAGTTAACGGTAATGGAAGCACAAACAGTTAACGGCTATGGTTACCAACGGTCCGTTTCAACGGCGCAGTCATGCTCCCTGTGTTAATGTTTGTAAATAATGACAGTTGTCTAAACAAGAACCTATCAATTACAGAGCAAAGTTAAACGTACGTACACAAACTCTCCTTTTTGTAGCATGAAAAAATACGTTTGTGCATTATCTGTCCAGATGATATGTTTAAAAACTACGGGTTACAGAACTACAAAAGCACCAAGACATCTGAAAGATTAAACCCTGTGTATTATGCATGTTCATCAATATAGTTTTACATCACGAATTCATATTTCAGTTCCCAATCCCGTAAACAACACGCCGTGTAAAAACACCAATTTGATAATATACATCACATGACCAGGAAACCAGATTCCAGAAAACATTTCACATTGGATGTCATTTAGTAGAACCATGAGCTCAAACTGATTGTCTTACCTTGATAACACGAAGTCCGTGGTTTTAATGTCCTCTGGCAAACTAACTGTGAAACTGTGGGTATTTCCTTTATGAAAGTGAAACCCACTCACACAAACTACAGGCTGAGTTCCTGCAATGTGAGCTGCTATGAGACTGGTCGGGGCTAGACTTACTCCAATGTGTACTAGCATCTATATCTTAAAGATATTAATGACGTCATAGTTATCCAGTCAGTGTTTGTTGTCAGATATATCAAGTGCTATTTATAAGGGTGAGACCGTACAGGCATACAGACTGTAGTCGACATACTCGACTTGTCAGGTCCGGATATACCGAGCGCTCATTTACTATTTGAATGAAGGAGTATTGTTTTACGTCGCTTTAAGATATTCGAGCAATATTACGGATGGGGGAACAATAACAGGGCTTCAGCCATTGTAGCCATGTGGGAATCGAACACGAACCTTTGGCTTGACGAGCAAAGGCTTAACCACTAGGCTATCCAACCAACTCGTGACTATTCGAATTAGGTCGCACAGAAGCAGTTATTGTTCTACCTGCTGTTCTACTGGTATTCGGCAGATGTTTGAATGGATAATCTGTTTGACGTCCGGGCAAACGGGTGACTAAGAGATCTAACCCAGCATTTGGTGTACAGTGTTGATCCCCCTTAGTTGCGTCAGGATCCGTTGATCGCTGTTTCGAATTATAGATTCGCCCTGGTTACGAATCTTGGTTTGTCTACACCATAACCGTGCTCGCCCGTTTCACCGAAGTATGAACATCCTACATCAAGTTAAAACGCCGTCATAAAACTGTAAGGGGCCCATTCGTCTAAGGCGCCGCGATTCGCTGTGCAGAGTTGCGTCCCTTGGGCACACCAGAAACCTATAATTGTGGGTTCGAATCCCGGTTCACCCCGAGTATGTTTCTAGATTTGACAGACCATACCCGTGCTCGTGGGTCTCGCCGAAGTGGTGAACGTCTAAGACCTGCACACTTCGGGCTTTCCTCCCACTTAAGCTGACACGCCGTGATATAACTGGAATACTGTTAAAAGCGGCGAGCGGCGTTAAACCCAACTCACTCACTCACTCACCCAAGTTTGACATCTGCCATCAGAGCAACAACGGAGTCTCTGTTTACCGTTTCTCACTCAAGAGGAACCATAACTATCAACATGTTCTCCCCTTTTTCTCGTTATATCCAGTTTCACTGTTTTTTTTGCACGTAAGCACTACTTCCTGTAAACAGTTGGTATAAGAAGGATGGATTTTCTTACTGAGGCTGCGTCTAAATATACCCTAAATGAAATGGAAGTACATTGATACTGACTATAGGTCGGGGAACGTTCACACGGTGAAACTGATAGACAGACAGATAGACAGATTTATTTCGCATACCCCGTGAGGCCAATAGTACTATTACGTATTATTGCAGGAAAATTGTCGTTGAGCACCATTTGTATAATGACCCTAAATAGATATTATGTATATATTACATGTTTTGAATTACATTTATATTCAATGTGTCATATTCTTTAAATATTTTATTGACAAAATCTGCGGCTAAACATATTTATTAGACAGTAAGCTTTCGATTAGAAGATTTGGAAATATAACGCCGCCATTTACGATTTTGTTGGTTTTTGTTTGTTGTTTAACGCCGCTATCCAAGCTATGTGGTGGCGGCCAGTAAATAATCGAGTTCAGACCAGACCATCCAGTGAATGAAATCGTGAGCACTGATCTATGCATTTTGCATACGATGACATGCAGGAACCAAGTCACTCATTCCTTCAGTCGCCTCTAACAACAAGCATGTTGGGCTGAACACCAATTTCAGCCCGGATCTTCACGGTTTATGAAATGTCATGATTTATGTTTTGTTTGTTTGTTGTTTGGCGCCACAATCAGTGTTATTCCATCTCTGTGACGTCGACGGCGGTCGGTAAATAATCGAGACTGGACCAGACAATCCAGTGATTTATCATGAGGATTGATCCACGCAACTGGGATACGATGACATGCATCAACCAAGTCAGCGAGCCTGACAACCCGACCCCGTAAGTCACCTCTCACGACAAGCATAGTCGCTTTTTAGGGCAAGCATGGGTTTCTGGAGACCTATTCTACCCCGGATCTTCACGGGTCAATGTTACCTATCTGGTATGGACAATAGAGACAGGTCTTGTTTAAAACAAGGAGTATCTGTTGGTTTCATTTCAACTTGTGCAGTTAGAGTGTTAAGACCTTAAAATAGAAGCGGCCAAACCGTTAATCATAGGAAATAGTTTATTCCGGTTCTTCCTATGTCATAAAAGTGTTTCAGCTTTGTGTCATATACATGCTTCTGGCAGTGTTGTAGTGGAAGTGGGTTCTAGGGGGCACAGTGGGGGGCGTGCCAACCCCTATGATCCTGGGTTCGAATCCATGCTGATTGCGATTCGTGGTTTGTCTTGGGTTTCGGAAAGTCGAACACGTCTTAGACCTACACGACACGATAATTAAAACTGGTTATTTTCTTGCATTGACATTTTATGTATATTTGGTCTTTAGTCCCGAAAATCGCCCACATAGGATGTTAGAACTGAAATACTATTAACCATATTCTCCCACATTCCGCTGTCGACCGCCTCCGTGGCCTTGTGGTAGGGCGTCCGCCCGGCGAGCTGAAGATCCGTCATACCAAAAGACGTTCAAAGATGGTACTTGTTGTCAACCTGTCTGGTGCTCGGCATTAAGGGGTTAAAACAAGGACTGGTCAGCTCGGAGTCAGTATACTCAGTGGGCAAGCACTATTAATCGGTATCAGTCCGGACGAGTGCAAGCAGACACACATTCACACACACACAACACACACACACACACACACACACACACACACACACACACACACACACACACACACACACACACACACACACACACACACACACACACACACACACACACACACACACACACACGTGACTTTAAGTTCCATTCCTCCTCATCGTATATGCTTCAATGATATGTGTGTGTGTGTGTGTGTGTGTGTGTGTGTGTGTGTGTGTGTATGTGTATGATAGATATGATTCAAGAAATAAACATACCTAAATGAAAATGTCTTATAGTTTAATGTTCCTTTTTATCAGAGTTCAATATAAAAATGATTGAATGTTTGATAGATGCTTGCGTCCATCAAGCATCATATCAATGTTGTAAATCGAGTTCCAATAGGTATATGTATGTGTGGTGCGTCATGTGGGCAAATTCGCTGTCAGACTTGCGCCAGGATCCGCTGATTCGCTCATGATTAGCATAAAAAAAATCCAACGTCCATGCTGTGCGCCAATTTGGGCTTTCTTCGCGCACTTAGCTCATATGCAGGAATATAACCAAAAGAACTGGTTTGAGGGGCATTGAGCAAACTCAATCTTGCAAGTGACAGGTGAACACATTACCATCTTTATCTACCTCGTAGAGCGCCTTTAAGATGGGCAAGTTACAAATAGCTATGTGTACTGGCCTACAATACATTAACAAAGGCGTGAAGGCTTCTTCGTCTGTGACCATGTCCGTGATGGCATACTCTGCCCTGCTTCCTTTGAACCCCAACACCAGCAGACCTGGCGAACACAGTTCTCGAAGCGGAAGAAGGATTTCCTGCCTGTAAGCTGACGTTTGTCGAAAAGAGGACGGCCAGGTCGGATGTTGATCTACTCCTGGGTTAACGCTGCAGCAGTATACAACATTCACGTCAATAAGGCCCCACAGCAGTGACACGTGCACACCGTGGGACAATGAATAGGACTATTAATACCACAGCTATTCCTGTTGATGTAACTTCATCAGTAAAAGGTGCAAGGTCGCCCTGCAATTCACTGTGCAGAGTTGTGTCCCTTAGGCGTGCCAGAATCCTATGGTCCTGGGTTCGACGCACAGCTTTGCCCTGATAGCGTTTCTGGGGTTTTCCACACCATACTGTTCAAAGCGGTGTAAAACCAAACTCACTCACTTCTGGTTAATAAAACATTATCAGAAAATAGCCACTGGGTGATCGAATCCCACTAATGTATGGATAGTTTAAGGGAATTCATGATTCAAAACAATTCGGTATGGTAATATTGTTTTGTTCATAAACATAATGTATTTTTCTTGTTTTAGTTTTTTTGGTCGTTTGAACGAGTTATGTCACATATTGAATGATCAGCGTAGTGACGTCAGCATGCTATTTATGACATGGAATCTACAGAATGAGAGTGAGTGAGTGAGTTAGGTTTAACGCCGCTTTTAACAGTATTCCAGTTATATCACGGCGTGAAACCGTGAGTACGGGTATTGTGCTGACAAACCTAGAAACATAATCGGGGCGAACCAGGATTCGAACCGACAATCATCGGTTTCTGGCAGGTTTTCTCACAGGTTGAAATAATTAAGCTGTGAAAAGCGTACACGTATATGTGTATTTCAACCAATCACTCGCAGATGAATTATCATAGCACAGAGCAAAAGCGCTTCTGTTATCTGTATGATGATAAGTAAATGAGCTGCATATTTTACATGCTTTTCAAATATTCGAGACAAAGGTTGGGGTCACATGGTTTTTACTTACATATATCATATGCATACGTAAAACATCCGACAACGATGAATTGCGGATTATCTCTTCTGAATTAATCATGCACGTCCAGCGTTCCTTGAGGAGGAAGAACTTAAGCGAATGTTCTATTCCGCCGCACTCAGCAACGTCCCAGTCATAGCATGATTATCAACTTTAGATCTGACAAACCAGTGCCAAAAACATATACAACGATCCACACCATTGCGATCGATGACGTGCAATCAGACAAGCCATCTTGCTTGACCCACAAACGTCTTCAGTCAGCCCTTACGACTCGCGGAGCAGTCGGGTAGCCTAGTGGTTAAAGCGTTAGCTCGTCACGCCGAAGACCCGGGTTCGATTCCCGACATGGGTACAATGTGTGATGCCCACGGGTAGCCCAGTCATCTAAGGTGCCGCAATTCGCTGTGCAGAGTTGCGTCCTGTGGACACACCAGACACCTATAATTGTGGGTTCGAATCCCGGTTCGCCCCGGGTATGTTTCTAGGTTTGTCAGCACCATACCCGTGCTCGTGGGTTTCACCGAAGTGGTAAACATCTGAAACCTGCATCTTTTCAGGCTTTCCTCCAACATCAAGCTGACACGTCGCGATATAACTGGAATACTGTTAAAAGCGGCGTTAAACCCAACTCACTCACTCACTACAATGGAATGTGTCCTTTAAGCTGACAGAAACAACGCAAACAAAACATTGCTGTGGAAATTTGTTTATATTTACAAACCAAAATATCTATATAATATAAGCATGTGAACAGAAGCACACAAACTGTATATTAGGGACCGATCATTTGATATATGTGTGGGTTGGGGAGGGGGTTGTGTCTATTGAGACTGGATCATTTTTCTGCTGCAGCCCCCAAAACAGACTTAATGTTTTTAATTCAAACTATCAGCATAAATATTTTTTAAAAAACAAAAAAATAGTTTTATTTTTCGAAATTCTGAAGCATACTTATTTGTTAATATTTTCTGAAACAATACCAAATTTTTCGATAAAATCGCAGACGCCACCCGCCAGCCCCGAATATTCGGTCCCTTAATGCGATGTTGAATCTTACCTCTTGAATATGGGCGGGTTCAAAATGCATTGACATCCTTTGACAATACCTTATATACATTGTTTAATATTAAACACGTATATGCGTGTGTCACTAGTCATAAAAATTGAGGGGTTTTGTACTAACGATAAGGAAATAAGAAAATTCAATTACATTGCACTCATTCAGCCTGGGGCTGAACGCATTCCGGAACCAAGAGATAAAAGCTTTTTACGTCTGCGAGACTTCAACAATTTCTTGCGCGACTTCCGGCGTCTGGATCTTTGTTTCCGGTCGACTAAAGGCGAATATCGGCTTGAGTATGAAGTTCTCTTTTTCATGGGATGTTTGCCCTTGCGCCTTCGACGTAATCTCCGTCTCTCATTTCTTTGGGTTTGTTTTTGACGTGATCTCCGTCTCTTATTTCTTTGGGTTTGTTTTTGACGTGATCTCCGTCTCTTCTTTCTTTGGGTTTGTTTACTCGGGGCAATTGTTTGGGACGAATGAAATTGGGCTTCCTTTACCTTTGGTCGAAGCGCCCGTTCTTCGGAGGTGCGGTGAGGAGCGTGGCGAGTTGACGCCGTTATATTGGGCACTCTGTCGTGTTGAACAGTTTCCGTTCGCGACAAAGCTGGGTTACCTTGGTTTTTGTCGGAAGAGTTCAATGAAACATCTGATGCGTTCGACATTGGCGGATCTGTTAGACCCTCGGTAACTGCTTCATTAGCAGGTATTGGTTCCATCTGATATAAAGCATCCTGATGTATGCTTAACACGTTGTCTTTTCGTGATGGATACAAAGAAGATGATGACACGTCGCTAACATATTGGGGTGCTGTTTTTGCCATCTGCGTTGGGGGGAATTGTGGTTGATATAAAATTGATTTAGGCATTTTGCAATGATCTTCCTGTACATGGAGAATTGTACCACGTTTACTTACATAGAAACACACAATACCTTTACATCGCGCGGGAACAGATACATGCAACGGCTTGCACCTGTCACAAGATAGCACGAGAAATACTTTGGGTGTTTTCCCAGGTACATGAAATTTCCAGTTAATGAACTTGTCGATATTAAAACATAAGCGATCGTTTTTGGCATGTATTGTGGCGATTTGGCACAGAGGTGTTTCAGTGCGATCTGATCCGACAGGGGTTTGTACAAGTTTCGAATCAGCAGCAGTGGTGGTGGTAGTTGTCGTTGTGGCTACGTTATATATGTCAGTAGGTGCCAACCTACAACGTAACCAGAGTAAAAAGGGAACAAACGAGTTAGTTTGAGCTAAATTCGAAAACCTGCTGGTAGTAGTGGCTTGGGTGCTTGTTCTTCTTTGTCGAAATAGGGCAGTGTTCCCAGCTGCACGAGAAGGCATTATTACCCCAGATTCCACCATCTGTGTCATATCAGTAGTTGATGTGCTGGAATTGGTTGTGTGTCCAACTGTTGATAGTGATGAATCGGTGATAGTAGGGACATAAATAGATGTGATTGAAGAGGCTGTAGTGGGGACATTAGTGGATGGTCTGGAAGAGGTTGTCGTGTCTTTGACTGTTGATGGCGATGATTCGGTTATAGTGGGGACATTAGTGGATGGTCTGGAAGAGGTTGTCGTGTCTTTGACTGTTGATGGCGATGATTCGGTGATGGTAGGGACATTAGTGGATGTTCTAGAAGGGGTTGTGTCTTTGACTGTTGATGGCGATGATTCGGTGATAGTAGGAACATTAATGGATGTTCTAGAAGGGGTTGTGTCTTTGACTGTTGATGACGATGATTCGGTGATAGTAGGGACATCAGTGGATGTTCTAGAAGGGGTTGTGTCTTTGACTGTTGATGACGATGATTCGGTGATGGTAGGGACATTAGTGAATGTTCTAGAAGGGGTTGTGTCTTTGACTGTTGATGGCGATGATTCGGTGATGGTAGGGACATTAGTGGATGTTCTAGAAGGGGTTGTGTCTTTGACTGTTGATGGCGATGATTCGGTGATGGTAGGGACATTAGTGGATGTTCTAGAAGGGGTTGTGTCTTTGACTGTTGATGGCGATGATTCGGCGATAGTAGGGACATCAGTGGATGTTCTAGAAGGGGTTGTGTCTTTGACTGTTGATGACGATGATTCGGTGATGGTAGGGACATTAGTGGATGTTCTAGAAGGGGTTGTTCCTTTGACTGTTGATGGCGATGATTCGGCGATGGTAGGGACATTAGTGGATGTTCTAGAAGGGGTTGTGTCTTTGACTGTTGATGGCGTCGATTCGGTGATGGTAGGGACATTAATGGATGTTCTAGAAGGGGTTGTGCCTTTGACTGTTGATAGCGATGGGTTTTTTATAGTGGGGACATTAGTGGATGTCCTGGAAGAGGTTGTAGTGCCTTTGACTGTTGATGGCGATGATTCGGTGATGGTAGGGACGTTAATGGATGTTCTAGAAGGGGTTGTGTCTTTGAATGTTGATGGCGATGATTCGCTGATAGTAGGAGATGCAGTCGTAGTTCTAGTTTCTACAGACGTTGGCGGAGAAGTTGTAACTGAAATTCATTATGATTATTTTTTCAGATTTCTCATTTTTTAAAATAACTTTTGTCAGAATATGAACGCAAGTTAAAAACTTGAAAGGACATCATATTTTTTGTCTTTCGAACCAATAGCAATTTTGGAGGAATGACACCCCTTCGAAAATTATTTCAGTTATGTCATAGCAAAGCAAAAGTGAGACTTTAACATTTACAACTTACAAAACGAGCAGGGGTATGGTGATGATAAACCATGGAATAGTTCAAAACACCAGCGGCGTCTGGCAGCAAGGAGACTCAACACATCGAGTCGTGGTTCCAACCAACCAACAGAGTGAAAGCCTGCTGTCATCACTGATTTTCAGTGACCCATTCATGTATTTTGTGAAGCTATTTTTCCTTTTTTCCAATGGAAGCTGTTTAGTGGAGAGCGGAGACTTGCTATTCTTTGGAATCTGGCATTGTTTTGTTTTTTTAAGTTTACCATATGTACAAAGATACAATGGTACAATGCCTGATACAGGACTAACCATACTGTGTGAACAAAAACACTTTAATATATATATATATATCAGTATTACAACTGTACTGTAATGTTTGTGCTTCCTCTAGAATACTCGCCGCGAATAGCTGCAAAATTGCTGATGCGGCGTTAAGCAATATTCACTCACTCACTCCTCTAGAATACCCACCTTCAGTACATCCTCTCTTCATGAACACGCTTTCTTTCTTGTGGGAGAGCGATGTAGCTCCTCTGTACAGATAACAAGAGTAGCTACTGAAGTCGAACTCTGCAGCAGTGCACCAGTCGAAGGATCGGCAAAACGTCTTACACTTGTCAGGATTCACAACAACCTTGTAGCCCTTCCAGTCATCCTCACTACCTGCTGAATCAACCACCTCGGAGAAGGTACAAACTTGCTTAGCTGAAGATAAAATCAGAGATGCTTTTCATGAAAATTATATTTAATCAAACGCATTATCTTATTGCATTATACCATAACATTAACTACATTATATTTCGTAGTATATATATATATATATATATATATATATATATATATATATATATATATATATATATATATATATATATAGTAGTATTAGTAATAGTACAGATTAAAATATAAAATGCAACAAGGTTTGAGTGATCCTGGCACAGTCAGGCTGGTAAGGCTCATCATCAGCTCAGGGCCCTTGTCCCCTCTAAATGGGACTTCTCCCAGGAAGCGCTGCCATTCAAACCCACCCAGAACTTTTCGGAGAATATGAAGACTCCCCAACACTGCAGCCTTCTGCACTACCCACATTGTCAGATGGGCTGTATTGCTGGCAGCAAATCCCGGTACTCTCACAATGTCAGTCAACAGATTGAGGGATGCCAAACCGAAGGCAACCGGATGGGTGTCAATACCTTGAGTTTCGTGTTTCGTCCAATCAACAACACCAAACGAATACGAAAGGACGGGTATAGCATAAGTAGTTGTGGCTTGGACTTTTTCCCGAGCGTTCAGCTCTGAACTCCAGATTTTCTTAAGTCTTCATTATTATTATTAATATGTACAGATTAAAATTAAAAAATGCACCAAAGAGGGTTTGGGTGATCCTGGCACTGTCAGGCTGGTTAGGCTCATCATCAGCTCAGGGCCCTTGCCTCCTCTGCACGCATCCCATACAGTGAATGAGACTTCTCCCAGGAAGCGCTGCCTAGTCAAACCCGCCCAGAACTTTTAGGAGAATGTGAAGACTCCCAAACACTGCAGCCTTCTGCATTACCCAGATAGTCAGAATGGATTCCTGGCAGCAAACCCAGCTGCAGGTACTCTCCCAATGTCAGTCAAAAGATTGGGAGGTACCAAACCTAAGGCATAGAGTACAATGGGAAGTCGGATAACTTGGTACTTGGGATGCCAGCGTGACATTTCGAAAGCGAGGTACGCATATATGGTATGTTTTACCTGAATCTTGTCAATCACATTTGTGTCAAAAGGGACAGAAAATTCAATGATGGTATTCAAGATTTCATTGGATTTATCAAAAAGGACAAGATCAGGTTTGTAGGTATGAGGCTGTATACGGGCCTATTCCAAAGGGATTTTTATTTATCATTTTCCATGACGCCCTCTACATATTATGGGTCGTACCATGGGTGGGGCTCTGTGTCAAAACCACAAGCATGGCGAAGACGGTAATAAAAAGATCGAGCCACGCCATCATGTCGCTCTAGATACTGTGTTTGTGCCAAAGCTGGGCCTCCACTGACAATGCGTTGGACAGTCTCATAAATGCATAATCTACATTTCATATTTACATTTTGATGCAAAATCACACATTGACGATTTCGAGTGGAAAGTGACTGATCCTGAGCAGAAAAAGAAAGCCTTCTGTTTCTGTTGGGGGACAGCGGAAATGGGCTTCACACATTGTACCCATGTCGGAAATCGAACCCATGTCTCCGGCGTGACGAGCGAACGCTTGAACCACTGGGCTACCCGATCGCCCCTTACTGGCTATTGACATTGGTACACATACTCATATTGGAATATTGCCGTCCGAATAGTATACTAATATATTGTACATAGAAGTATTGACAACAAGATATTTACTCAATGATAATTTTCACAATGCTAGAATATGGCCCAAATAGATTTAAACCTAACGTATTAAGATCGTAGCTAACAGTAAAGTAAACATTTATAAGTCAAATACCGGTAGTTTCTTTCCTTGAAGAACAGAGGGGGCTGCTGATCATGAGCTCTTGGTTTTTAATCGATGGAGTTGCAATAACCGACCGTCGTATGTATACAACTCAGGTCTACATTAAGTTACATAATTAAAGATAAATTCCTATATCTTTCACAGCTGAAACCATTGATGATTGTGTCATTACTTACGAATTATATTCAAGTAGGTTATCATATTGCCTAATTCATCCTTATTTTGCTGTTATAAGAAAGCTATGACAAGTGCATACGGTTTTGGATATGGCCCTTTGAATTTTATCTTGAACGTCATGCCATTGCGATGTTAAACTGGATCCAACGTTAGTCTTTATCATGAAACTTAGTGAATAATTTACACCTGATTCGTGAATAATTTTGTGTTCAATTTACCCCACTTTCGCGAATGAATATCCCTACTTTTTACACCATAAACGCTATGTAACGAAGTCACTAGTGGATCGGGAACTTCTACGTTGCCGGAACAGATATTTGCGAAAAATGAGGGCATGCGCTCTCTTTCCATACTCCTTTTGTCTTCAGCAAATCATATAATTAATACATACATAAAATTTCCAAGTAAAATAATGTGTACTCGTTCACGCTTGTCAGAAACCGACAGTAAAACCTATGTCACGTACTTTACATACTGAAAGTTATTCAATAGCGTTAATTGTGTGAATTGGAGGTGCTACAAGCGGAACACTTTCGTACCCTTTTCTCGAACACTTGGTGTCATTACTTATTATTAATCCATTTATATAATTTTCATAATTATTTTGCTTACACCCAATGTGTTTCGGTAAATAACCGAGATTTGTTCTCTGACGTTGACGTTTTATACTAACGTCTTTCCGCACAACAGACTAACGTTGACATGGCAGATTTGCATTGTTGTAACAGCGGATGTGGATTTAACTTACCCCGACATACCGTGGCAGCCACACACAACAGCCCGAGATACAGGATCCAGCTCAAGTGATTATGCATTGGTCTGAAAGCCAAAGACGAGCAGTAAACATGTCATATATGTAACCTTTTCTGTAGAATTGAATACACCAGTATTGATGGGAAAGCATGTGTGAAGTCTGGTTCAGAACAGTTCTCCAGTACCTCTTGCTTATCATAAGACACGTCTAAACATTGGCTGATTGTGCCATCGTGCCACACCGTGGTGTGATATTCATGATAGTACCATAGATCACAGGTCATTCTCTGTTTGGGCCAAAGGAGGTTCAGTAATCCGAACGGTTCAGTTCGCTATGTATGGAATTGTCCAAGTGACCCAAAATATTATAAAATACTGTAGTAGCAATACAAAAATGACTTAATAACAAAAATGACTTAAATAACTGCGTATTGTAATTCGTCCTTGTAGTCCAGTAAAAGCATTAAAAGCCATTTACGAATCAGTTAAAGCTTGTGTACGAACCAATGGCAATAACCTTACAAGTATGTTTCATTGCCCTTTGGGAGTGCGTCAGGGTTGTGTATTAAGCCCAATCTTGTTCTCTTTCTTTATAAATGAACTTGTTCTTGAAATTAACTTAAAATCTAAAAATGGCATCTAGTTATATCCAGATCTAATAGAAATATTCCTTTTACTTTTTGCTGACGATGTCGTCCTTTTTTTCTGATTCGGTAATTGGTCTTCAACGTCAAATCAATATTTTGGAAAATTATTGTGACAAGTGGTCACTGTCCGTCAATCTAAATAAAACTAAAGTTCTTGTTTTTAAAAGCGGTGGGAAATAATCAAAATTAGAGCAATGGATATACAAAGGCGCACATATAGAGGTAGTTTCATTTTATACTTACCTTGGAATATTGTTTACTAGGATTTTGAGTTGGAATAAATATCTAGAATCTACATCTGTTAAAGCTAAGAAAGTGTTGATGTCAATCCTACAAAGTTTGCTAAAATATGATAATCTACCCTGTAATTTATACTTTCAAATTTTTGATACAAAGATAATGCCAATTTTACTTTATGGATCAGAAATATGGGGTTATAGAAAATATGAGTGTATAGACAAAATTTCATCTTTATGCGTGTAAACGTGTAAGTGGGGTTCGATCCTCCACCCCAAATGGTATTGTACTTGGGGAATGTGGCAGATATCCATTGTATTTATTTTCGCATAAGCGCTGTATAAATTATTGGTTAAAACTAACGACTCTTCCATCCACGCGATACCCAGTAAAAGCCTATACCATGCTGTTCTATCTGGATCAAAATGCCAGTCACTCACGCAATAAGAATAATTGGGCAACAAATATCAAAATCACCCTTTTCAGTTTAGGCCTTGGATATGCATGGATGGATCAGGGTGTTGGAAATGTCAAGATGTTTATGTCATTATTACTCCAAAGAGTTAAAGATTGTTTTCAACAAATGTGGAAAGAAAAACTAAGAAATAGCAAATGTACATATACCTATTCTCTCTTCAAACAACAATTTATACTCGAAGAATATCTTATATCTGTTACAATAAAAATAAATTCGAGTATCGCTAGCGCAGTTCAGAGCAGGATATTATGATTTAAAGATCTATAAAGGTATATTTAAAAAGTCTAACAATATCTGTACATCTTGTAACCTTAATGTTGTAGAAAATGAGTATCAGTTTATGCTTGTGTGTAAACTCTATCGTCAATTAAGAAACAAGTCTATTCCAAAGAAGTTTATAACTTACCAAAATATTAATTTGTTTTGCATACTCATGTCAACTTCAAATATTACTTTATTACAAAATATTGCATTGTACATACATCATGCATTGTTAGTTAGAAGAAACACCCATACCTTGTAGATACGTTGAACTATGGGCCTATGGCCTTTCAGTTTGCAATGAATAAAACAATTCGACAAAAGCATTAACAGTTACATAAGGCTAAGGGTCCTGAGCCCCGGTCCACAAAGCGATCGCAACACTTAGACAGTTGGGCCTATTTTAAAATATGTTCATATAATTTATATAAAAGTTCGTATAATTTTCACCACTATTTTGCCTTTGACGCCCAATGGAATCTGTTTCTGTGGATAATTGAGACTCACTTTAGCGCTAAGATCGCTCTGTTGAATGGGCAAGACCAGGTTTCTACCGGCCAAACTGAGACATACAGATTTTACGACTGCTTTTTATTAAAAGCAAAAAAAACCTTGCCATATTCATAAGTAATCCTGCAACAGTTTATTTTAAACATGTACTTGACACTTTGATTAGCCTGTCCATTGAAAGATGGATATTAAGCTACAGTCACATAGACAATGCGACCGTGATGCAACCTCCTGGCGACTGATTTCCTTTGCGACCGAATGGCGATCGCTGAGACCGGTGCAACTACTTCTGCCCATATTTGGAAATTGTATGGTCGCCGATCAATTAGCTATAGATTGTGCAACTTGTCAGTGATTGATCGGCAATTGTTCACCGCAGATATGGCGAAATGTTTTCAACTGGTTGAGACCGATCGGTGACTAGTCAGCGAATATTCGGTGACTTGCAACTGAACGGGGAATAGTTGTCGATCGAATCGATCACCGATCAAAACATAATGCATATGAAATAGATGCTTTTTTTAATTAAATCATGTCTTTGCATGTTGTCAAGATGTTAACAGCAGAACAGTTGCAGTTGTTCCGCTTGCAAAGAATAAATCAAAATGTTGCAGTTGCTGCCATGATGATGTACAGAAGAATGAGAAGGACAAGATGAAGGCAGTATTGGCTGAGACCTTGGATCGCAAGAAGGTCACAGCAAGGAGACTATACGAATCTGATGGCAGAGTTGGAGAGAGAAAGTCGTGGTGATTTCGTGGGCTACCTCAGAATGGAACCTGTCACGTTTCACAAACTCGTACAAAGACTCACACCCAGACTGACCAAAAGAAGACACTAATTGGAGAAGATCTTTAAGTCCTGAGCTGAAGCGTGCTGTCACCCTTCGGTTCCTGGCAACTGGAAACAGTTATCACAGCTTGGCCTTCTCATTCAGAGTGGCACACAACACAATATCAGTATTTGTTCCTGAAGTTTGTGAAACCATCATCGAAGACTATGGTGATGAAGAAGTGACGACACATCGAGTCTAGATGGAACATTCCACATGCAGTTGGGCCCACAGATGGAAAGCATGTCGCCATTGGAGCACCCAGTAAATCTGGATCCCTCTACTATAAGGAGTTCTTCTCCATCATCCTGCTTGGTGTCGTGGAAGCTGATTACAGGTTCATCTGGGCTGACATGGATCGCAATGGCTCTACGTCTGACTGTGCTGTTTTCAACCGATCTGACCTCAAGGAAGCTCTAGATGATGGGAACATTGGTCTTCCTCCAGATGATCCACTGCCCAAAGACGATGGGCCAATGCCTTTTTTCTTGGTGGGATGCCTTTCCCTTACGAACATGGTTGATGAAGGCATTTTCAACAAGAAATCTGACAGAATGAATGGAAATAATTGATGTGAACTCTCTGAGTACTTATGGTTGGTTGGTTGGTTTGTTGTTTAACGCCGCACTCAGCAATATTCCAGCTATATGACGGCGGTCTGTGTAAATAATCGAGTCTGGACCAGACAATCCAGTGACTGATATCATCAGCATCGATCCACGCAATTGGGATCGATGACATGTATCAGCCAAGTCAGCGAGCCTGACCACCCGATCCCGTTAGTCGCCTTTTACGACAAGCATAGTCGCCATTTACGGCAAGCATGGGTTGCTGAAGACCTATTCTACCCCGGAATCTTCACGGGTTTCTGAGTCCTTATGACAAAATGATGCTGTAATGCACAGACAGGTCTTCTTACAGACGGTGACATGTTGTAAACCCAACGGCGATTGTTCGACGCCCGCTTGGAAACCACTTTGCAACAGCCTTGGGTAGACAGAACAGATCGCCGACAGTGGAAACCAATCTGCGATTAAAATAACACCACTTGGGGGCCTCAAGAAGACGAATGAAACCGCGACCTAATCGGTCGCAGTCAGTCTTTTGTGCATGTTCATATAAGACCGCTCTGAAACCTTGTAGCGACCTCAGTGAAACCTTTCAGAGACCCCTGAAACCTCATTGCGATTGCCAAATATTTTTGTCGCCAGAAGGTTGCATCGCGGTCGCATTGTCTGTGTGACTGAGGCTTCAGTCTATTCACTAAAACACCTTATCCTGCGATTTTACAAAGAAAATCACGATAAGGTCCGATACATCTGCTGTTCGACTGTCAGACTCACACGCCATGGACACAACTGTGAGCCTCCAGGGCGTTAAACCGACTCTGTGGTCTTGTGGGTGGAGTGTCTGCCCCGGAGAGCGGACGGTCCGTCGTCATATCAAAAGACGTTAAAAGATGGTACTTGTTGCTCGGAATTTAGGGGCTAAAAACAGGACTGGTCGGCTTGGAGTCAGTATACTGTGTCTGAGTGATGTGTCCACGTTAAACTGCGCCATGGTATCTCAGAGGATTAGCACTACGAAAACGGCATTAGTCTGGACTAATACAAGCTAATCACTAGCAGTTCGTAAGACAAGGGGATATTCTTGTAATCATTAGCCTCAGCTAGAAAATGTGTTCATTTGTCAGTTTTATGCTTTAAAGGACCATGTGACAATTGTATATGACTGTGAACCCAGAACCCTTGCTTATTAGTCCTGTGGGTGTAGAATAGGTGTGAAGTGATCACGAGTGCACCGAGTGAGTGAGTGAGTTGGGTTAAACGCAGCTTTTAACAGTATTGCAGTTATATCACGGCGTGTCTGCTCAATGTGGGGGCAAAGCCCCAAGTGGTGCAGGTCTCAGACGTTTACCACTTCGGTGAAACCCACGAGCGCGTGGAAGGTGCTGCCAAACCTAGAAACATAATCGGTCGAACCGGGATTCAAACCCACAATCATAGGTTTCTGGAGTTGCCAAGGGACGGAACCAAGAGCGAATCGCAGCGGCTTAGATGTGTACAGTGTTTGGATTGTACAGTACTTGGATGTGTACATGTACAGTACTTGGATGTCTGGGGTGCTGGTATTTGTGCAGTGCTTAGATGTGTACAGTACAGTACCTGGATGTGTACAGTACCTGTATGTGTACAGCACTGGGATGTGTACAGCACTTGGATGTGTACAGTACAGTACCTGGATATGTACAGCACTGGGTGTACAGTACTTGGATGTGTACAGTACAGTACCTGGATATGTACAGCACTGGGATGTGTACAGTATTTGGATGTGTACAGTACTTGGTCGTGTACAGTATTTGGATGTGTCCAGTACAGTACTTGGATCTGTACAGTATTTAAATGTGTACGGTACAGTACCTGAATGTGTACAGTATTTGGTTAGCACAATTGTCATATGTTTGACGACCAGAACCAAAACACCCGGATGAGAAACATTTAGCTCGATATGTAAGCATTAAGACTGTTTTATTGTTCGTCTCGTATACCAGCGTACCGAGTAAATAATCAGAAATGCATAAAAGGATTTTGTCATTTTTTTCATCTTCACACATATATTCGTACGTGGTGTTTGGCTTTGACGCCTCTCTGACATGCATACCGTACATGTATGGGTATTTCTATAATGAAATGTTTACTGGAGGACGGTGCTACAGTTATCTTCATCTTGTTAGGCCGTCTCAGCCGGTGCGGTTGACGGAAGGAACCGTAGCTGTGTTTTAAACACTTGAACTTTCAGTTCAAATGATTTGCAGTATGTGGAAACACGACACTCTCTGCCTGCCTGTACAATGAGATTACTTCACATTTGTCAGTTTCAAGAAATAAGCTGCCTTTTATTTTGCGTCGCCGTTTTCTTTGGATAATTGACATAGTCTAGAATTGATATAAATCTTGAATAATCATATAATAGTATATGTACATGAATCATAAAAACTTGAATAAATGTTAATACGGAAGATTTTAAACATTTATTCAACATTATGCATATAAATAATACGAGAAAACTCTTTCCATATTCAAAAGAAATGTCTTTTTGTAGCAGTGTCGATTGTATGATTCCGACTATATCATGAACATGTTTTCATCAATAACTATAATATCTTGATGACACCAGGTGTTCGCGTACAGATGAGCGTATCCTGCCCCCCCCCCCCCCCCCCCCCCCCGGTGGCACCCGCCATATACAGTTATCCAAATCTACCTTTTTTGTGTTATTTTGTTCTAAGGGTGATTAAGTAAAACTACTTGCATTCTCAAACGGATTATAAACTGACATGAATGTGAGTGAATTAGTGCAGAAAGATCCTGCTCGGAGAAATCGTTTCAAAACTCGTTTGCATAGATAGTTTTGTCGGGTGTAGGGGTTTGGTAACTTTAACCTCAATTCTTTAACAGTATATGTGGTGCGTATATATACTATGGCAATCTTTCACGAGCTGATGTGTATGCGCAGCCACTGCCAAGAATAAGCAGTGAGGCAATTAATTTACACTGTGGTTCGTCGTCACAGCCACTGACGGGATCATTAGCACAATATTTGAGATAAGCAAACATTACTTTGATGCTAGAAGAATCATTTAGTGCATTGTAATTAACCATGGCAAAAACGTGTTGGGAATCTTACCTTGATAACCGATTAGCCTCAATGTTACTTTCGCACCGCCACAGGCCAGTAACCGTAGACGTGAAGCCACATTACACAAACATGCTCAGTTCCAGTGAAGTAGCAGCCAGCCGGACCTAGACTTGCTGTGATGCACATACCACCGTGTTTATCTCGACAGCACTATAAGGACGCCACGCCTCCATATATGTTACTACATGTGACCTGGGACCGCCTCCGTGGTCTAGTGGTAGAGCGTCCGCCCGGAGAGCGGAAGGTCCGGGGTTCGATCCCCGGCCGCGTCATACCAAAAGACGTTTAAAGATTGTACTTGTTGTTACCCTGTCTGGCGCTCGGCATTAAGGGGCTAAAACAAGGACTGGTCGGCTCGGAGTCAGTATGCTGTGTCTGTGTGGGGTATTCATGTTAAACTGCGGCATGGTATCTCGGTGGGCTAGCACTATAAATCGGCATCAGTCCGGTCTAGTACAAGCAGCCACACACACACACACACACACACACACACACACACACACACACACACACACGTGCATGCACGTCGCTATATAAGTGCAATAACCTTGGACGCGACGTTAAACCCAATTTCACCTCACCTAACATGTGACCTGGCAGTGTGAGTAGCAGGGCCTTACCTAAATGGGCAACAGTGTTCCCCCTGTTCTTAAAATTACACACTGAATTTCTGTAACATATTTACGAAGATGTTTGTAATTATGACAATCCCCCCGTGGGGATGCAAGGTTGGATTTGTTCCCCAGCAAGCTCAGGTCGTTGCCTGTGAGGATGCGGGGTAGAACGGGTCTTCCGCAACCCACGTTTGCCTCAGATACAAACTTGCTTGTCGTTAAAGGCGACTAACGGGATCGGATAGTCAGGCTCGATGACTTGTTTAATGCATGTCATCGTATTCCAGTTGCGTAGAAAGATGCTCATGATGTTAATCACCATGTCATCGTATTCCAGTTGCGTAGAAAGATGCTCATGATGTTAATCACAGAATTGTCCAGATTCGAACATTTCCCGCCGTCATATACGTTGAATATTGCTCGTCGCGGCGTTAAACAACAAACAATAATCTGGTTGTAAAAGTCGATTTATTGGATCGCGTAGTCAGGCGCGGTGACTTGGTCGGTCCTGTGTCATCCTACCCTGACGGCGTGGATCGATCAGTGGATTGTCTGGTCGAGACTCGATTATTTATAGATCGACGTCATGTACTTGGTACTTTCTTAGTACAGGTAAAAAGACCATGCAATATACTTTCGTATTACACACAACATACGACGATATGTTTGTAAATAAAATCTCTCTTCACATTAGTTGTCACAAAGTAGTGACTTCCATTTCTTGGTAAATTTCATCTCATGATCAGTAACGTGCCCAAACATAACATTAAAAGCTTCATATATATTCAGTAAAAGATCAGTCACATCTTCACTCAAAACCGAGACCAAACGGCAATCTTATGAATACGAGTTTCTCAACGCTCTTTCACGTGACTTCCGGGAACGTAGGAGTCTAGATCGGTATTTGCGACCAACTGAAGAAGGATGACGGATCGGGCGAGGATTTTTCCTCCGTCTCCAATATCGTGGACGTGCATATCGCATGGGGTGTTTGCCCTTATACTTCGCCATTGGGTCGGGGGTTGGGCGTGGTCTCCGCCTTCTCTTTGGTTTGCTTTTAGGAGTTTTCTTTGGACGATTGCGATTGGGCTTCTTTCTGTTTGGCCGATGACGACCGTATCTCGGAGGGCGTACACGGCGTGGCGGAGAAGTTGGGTGGTTTGACTCCGTTACAGTCACCGCTGTGATTGGTTGAACGGCTTCTGTTCTCGATAATATTACCTTACCCTTGATCGTGGGTTGAATGGTTTTACTGACATTCGAGGCCAAATTAGCATTTGATTTGGTCGAATGTGTATCATCTTTGGAAATATCTGCATTGATGTCAATAGGCGTCACCTCATCCATCTCATTTAACACATCTAATCTGATGGAGGAAGTGTTTGTAGAAACAAATGAATTATCTACAGAAGTGTCACTTACAGTTTTAATAATGCTGGAATTGTTGTTTCTCCGAAGATGCATCACACTGGATGCAGTGTATGTATTGTTGCTCGGCAACCTTACCTCTGTCAATGGATCTGTTATGTTCAAGATCCTTTCTGGAATAATCTGGTTGGTATTCAGATCTAATGTAATGTTCCTTATTGATTCATTAACAGACCCTTGGTTTCCTGAAAAGGTAATGTTTACATCCCCGCCAGTGATATTGGCACTCTGGGAATCAGTGTTGTTTGTGTCCACGGTGTCATTACTTCCAAGTACCTTGTCATCAGGTGTTGATGAAGTTGTTTGAGCACCACCAGCGATGGTTGTTTTGGGGGCGGTGGTCTCGGAATAAATATCTTCGTATTTTTCCAAGAAATCTTTGATGTCAATAGGCACGGGAACTGTTGCTCCAGGTAGGAACTGATTCTGGTTTCCGTTTTGGAAGGGGAATTGTGGACCTCCTTGTCCGGGGAATTGGTAGGGAAACTGTTGTTGCTGATTGTACTGGTTATATTGAGCCTGAGTATTCTGTGCTGGAAGGTGAAGAATTGGGACCTTGCCACGGTAACTAACAGGGACACATATAACTGGCTTGTATGGTTGAGGAACAGCAACGAGAGAAAACCTGCCCGTATCAACAGAATGAATAAGGACATACTTGGGATTATCTTCAGGTAATTTCAAATTGGGAAATTTTTCTCTGTTAAAACATAACCTATGATTTGTGACACGCGCTTTGGTAGCTTTCGGGGATGTATATCGATGAATTTGGGTGTTCAGACGAACCTGAGAAGGTACTTGATATGGTGGGTACCGGGGAAATTGGGGGTAGGGATACTGAGAGATCGCTGGTTTGCCATACGGATGAGAAGGGTAGTAAGGAGGGTATGGGTTATAGGGATTCTGTGTTCTATATGGCTGAGACACTGGCGGAACCCTCGTCCCCAATGGAATAGATGGCATGGTAGCTGAACTGGTCGGTTTGCCTTCGGAGGTTGTTGCAGTAGTGGTTGTGGTTGTGGTTGTGGTGGCGGTAGTTGTTCTTGAAGAAATGGTTGTTGTTGAAGAAATGGTTGTTGTTGGGGGTAGCGCAGTTGTGTCAAGAGTGATGTCCTGTGTTTGTGAAGTAGTAGTGTCATCTTTCATTCGAGACTTAGTAGTATCAAGGGGCTTCACAGTACCTGCTTTCACAGCTCGGCCCGGATCATCTGAAAAGAAAGAAAGAATGTGTAAAATGCACTTAAACTGTCATAAAGCCACGAGTTACTGGGTTCTAAGCTCTTGTCAGCAACTGTAGGTTTTGACAAACTCAGCCAGTCACATTATACCACCTTAAGTTTGTCAATAATGCAAATACTATCTATATAACCAGCTATAGTGCCCAAACATTTCACATTAGTCACCTTTCGCGGAAATATCGCTTGCCTTGAATTCTCAGAGGATTTATAAACTGCGCCACCTTATTCTTATTTGCCGACTTGAATACTCGTTCCCTGCAAGGTTGTGATAAGTTAAAACTTTATGTCGAGCAATATTCCAGCAGCACCAGCCTTTGGTATCTACATTTACATCTACATCTTAGAGGTACAGTCGAGCATGCTCTTTCCACGAAGATTTTAAAGAGCATCATACGACGCTTGCTCACAGATTATTTTATCAATGTTACAACTTTCAAGACCTGAGTAAAGCTTTCATTTGACGCATAAGTGACAAAAATTATGTCCGATGCAATTCCCTATTTTGACTTGTACCAATGTCTTATTCGGGTAAACAGTTGACTTGCCTTTACGTGTGTGGGGCAGGATACGCTCACCTTTTCAAGAATACCTGGTTTTACCACTATTTGATAATGATACATAAACACATTCTCATGATACAATCGGAATCATAGAATATGGAAAGGGTGTTGTCGCTTGTATTAACACACACTATTATAACTAACTCTTGTTCATGGAACATATCAACAAATGGCCCTGAAGACGCACCTTCTCTAAATATTGATTTGACATAAAGTAGCCGTATTGTATCTTTCTTGTCAGCACGACTTGATTCTTCTGTTGTGGTCGTTGGGTCTTCTGGAGTCAGTGTGGTATGGGAGGTTGATGGTGGTTTGACAGTGGTTGTAGGAACAGCCGTAGTTGTGCTGGAGGAGGTAGTTGTTGATGTCGTTGGCAGGGTAGTTGTCACTGAAAATCAGTTTTTTTTAATTTGTTCAATATTTTCACCACACTCTTTTAGTCCGAGTGAAATTTTTTTTTAAAGAATTAATTGTCAACAGAGGATCTAAGTACAAACTCTGTTGTGTCGAACTTTGATGTTCGAACCTATAGATGTCTCGAAGTAAAAACTTGGTCCCTGGGGACTCCTTCTTTGGTTATCATGTTCGGTTGTGTCGAACCTCGGATAACTCGAAGTATTTACGTAGGTCCCTTCAACTTCGACACAACAGTGTATTGACCAGACCAAGTATTCAAACTGTAATATCCCTTACACCTTCAGTGCATCGTTCTTCTATGAACACAGCTGAGATTGGTTATTCTCTGGCGTTGACGTTTTAACATATACCATGTGTACAAATATATTTATATGGTGAAGTGCAATGCCTGATAAAGGACTATAATAATATTTGTTCAAACACAGTTAAACGTTAGAAGACCCGGTGTATATATATCATTGTTAAAACTGTATTATCCTTTTTCATGCTTCCTCTAGAATACCAACCTTCAGTGCATCCTCTCTTCATGAACACGCTTTCTTTCTTGTGGGAGAGCGATGTAGCTCCTCTGTACAGATAACAGGAGTAGCTACTGAAGTCGAACTCTGCAGCAGTGCACCAGTCGAAGGATCGGCAAAACGTCTTACACTTGTCAGGATTCGCAACAACCTTGTAGCCCTTCCAGTCATCCTTACTACCAGCTGAATCAACCACCTCGGAGAAGGTACAAACTTGCTTACCTGGAGGAATATAACTGAAGATGCTGTTTAATAATATAATGATCTGTCATGTTGTTGTTTCTCAACCAGGCCTATTCTTGCACATTATAGGCTAATTACTCAATATTTATACATAAAGACCAACAATTTCCGAGTGAGTGAGTGA